GTAAAGAAATGGAAGGTAATTCCTGAAATTCTTTATAGCCCTGTGTTTATAGGAGCTCAGTGGCTCATGGCAGAAATGGAAAGGTTTGCAATGTAGCTTTAATTGTGCGCAGTTTCCTCTCCACACCCAAAAATGGAAGCGAAGACCGATAAGAGTCCATTGTTTTAGATTGGAATGTCTGTTTTGACACTTTCTAGTAACTACTTCTTGAATATCCAACAGCACTCTAGATCTGGAAGTGGACATGCAGCCCAAAATGAGACCCATTCCCCAAGTCTAGGGATGAGAAATGAACATCACACCCCCACCACTAGTGCGGTTGATTATCAGCATTTTGATGTTGGCATTGGACAAGTAAGTTATTTATATAAGTATAGATATTTAAGCAGCACAACTGTTTCCAACATAAATGTTAAATCAGCATATTAGAATGATTTCTAAAGTATCATGTGACACTGAAGACTGGTGTAATGGCTGATGACAATTCAGCTTTGCATCACAGGACTAAAATATATTTTCACAATATTACTCTTATTTTTTCTGACATTAAAAATCTTACTGATTCCAAATTGGAATGATTAGAATACACCGTTACAGACAAACCTGATAATAAATAAATATGGAGTGAGAAGTATTTATTTATGCTTCATTGTATTTTTAATACATTAACTATATCATATATAAAAATATTTGTTTTATATATTTTTTTCTGTATGTTCTTCCAAGTTTGGGCTGCTATTTTCTGTTGAATCTCCATTGATAATACAAATTCAATGTCTTTCACTGTTTAAATGACAGTTGCCAAATAACAGCGTCTTTATTCCGCAGGTATCCATCGATTATCCTCAGTTAGCCTTTCATCCGCAGGCCTTCTTTGCCATGGGTTCACCCATAGGAATGTTTTTAACCGTCAGAGGTCTGAAGAGGATAGATCCTAATTACAGCTTCCCAACCTGCAAGAGTTTCTACAACATCTTCCATCCAGTAAGACCACTCTACAAAACACTGAGAACCATACACCTTCCTTAGAGCTCTGTTCTTACACCTCGAATGTGATCTGTGCAGTTTGACCCAGTGGCGTATCGAATTGAGCCCATAATTTTGTCTCAAGACATGGACTTGCCTCCCATGTTGATACCCCATCATAAAGGCAGAAAAAGGATGCACCTC